GCCCCGGCTGCAGGGTTCAGCCCCACCCTCCCCTCATGCACACCCGTGACTTCTTTACCAAACACGCTGGTGTCTCCGAAATCCTCATCTCCCTGGAAACTCTGAACTCCCCACCCGCCCCTCCACTGCGCGGCCTGGGGACACTCTGAACTCAGGCTCCTGGTCAGGCCCAAACCTGGACTCTGGTCTTTCCTTCCCATGCCCCACATGCCCATCTCGCCGGCCTTTCCAACCCGTCCCCCCACTTCTCCCCAGACCCACGGACCCCCAGGCCCAGCCACCTGCCCTGGACTCCAGCTGGGTTCCCGGCAGCTCCCTCTCCATGCAAGGCTGGTGGGAACACACGCCGCTCCCAGCTCAGCCCCCATCTCCCACTCAGCGCACATGGGCCAGCCCCCACCCTGTGCCCTTTGGGGCCAGAACAAGGCCCTTACAAGGCCTCGAGGGGCTGCAGGGGCTGGCCGTCAATGCCAGCTCCCTGTGGCCACAGTCCCCCCTGCATCTGTGCCCCCGCTGCCCTCCACTGACCTCCTGGAGAGGCCATCCCCCCACTCAGGTCTGCTCCATGTCCTCGGGGGTGTCCCCTGGCCCAGCAAGTGTCACTTCCCCGCCCCACCCTCCCTGAGGGCTATTGCTCACACTTGTGGCTCCTGGAGTGATTCTCAGGGTGTGCAGCGGCACACTCAAGTGATGACGGGACTGACAGCTGCCTCTCTGGACAGGCCATCAGCTCTACAGCTGTTGTGCTCCCAGCCCTGTGCCTGGGCCTAGTCCAGTGCCTGGCTCAAGGCTCAGGAGGGGCTTGGGACACTGCTGGATCGCCAGCAGCTTCCTGAGAGGATGTCAGCAGTCAAGGAACCCAGCCATGGCACAGAGAAGGCAGACGACGAGGCTTCCCAGGACCAGCCTGCGCTCTATTGCACAGCAGACGGGCACCAGCACCATGACCAGGACACAGGCACAGGCCCCACTTGTCACCTCCCTCCCAGGTGGCACGTGACCCCCTCTCCTGCAGTCACTCTGCAGTCAGAGCTGGGTTCCACACTGCTGCAGTCTGGGGTCACCTATCAACAAATCACTGAACCTGAAGAACTCTCATTTCATCCGGAACAACATGCCCAGGGCCTGGGAGAACCACAGTCGAAGGCAACAAGCAGGGTGGCCAGCTCTCAGGGCAGGAGGGTGTGTGCGCAGGACGCTGTGGGGGAGGGAAGAGGCTGAGAGAGGGCTGCTGGGGGACATGCCTGCCCCGGTCAGCTCATGGGCCCAGTGGACCAGTGTCCACCGGGGTGGCAGGGCCGAGAGCGGAGCCCAGAGGACCTCACCGTCTTTGGGGAGGATGGTGGCCTCCTCGGTGAGCTTCAGGATGGCACAGGTGTCCAGGAATTCCCGCAGACTCAGGAAGCTGGAGATGTTCTGTCTTCCTGTGGCCAGGGGGAGTCACAGAGCAGGGGCCGTCGCTGTCCTATGTCTGCACCTGGACCCTGCCCCACCCCGTCAGTCTGCCCTGTGCCCCGTTTTCAAGGCAGGAGAGCTGGGGCTGGGGTCACCACTGGAGGTGGGCTCTTGGGGAGCCCCTTCTGCCTCAGAATCCTGACACACCTACCTGAATGTGTCACTGAGACAGGACCCCCTCCCCCGTCTCCAACGCCGCCTGCTCAGTGCCCACGGCTGTGTCTGGTAGTGGGCTCAGGCCTCTTACCCCAGCTTCAGTCACCTCCACACCCCCAGCCAGTGCAGACCCTGCCTCACCCCCGCCCCATCACACCCAGTCACCCCATCCTGCCCCTCTCTTCCCCAGGCCTTGTAACCTGCACCCACCCCAAATCCCAGCACCCTCCTGGGAGGCCTCTGCCTCCCTGTGAGGGTCTCCCACTCACCCCCACTGCAGCCACTTCCAGGCCCTGCACACCATGGTCTCCTTCACTGCCCCGGCTCCTACCATCCACCCTGACCAAACGCCCTCCTTGCCAGCTGCTCACCTGCCAGCCTCCCCTACCAGGTCTTGACAGCTGGCACCGCCAGCCATGAGCAGCCCTCGCCCTCCACTACCCTCTGCTCTGACTCCGGGTTGCAGCCCACGGCCCTAGGGGCTCCAGCGGGGCCCCACTTACCAAAGAGCATCACGTTCTTGTAGTTGCGCTCAGCACGCCCCAGGCGGAGGTACACCAGGCCGTAGCTGTAGTCAGTGGACAGCACGTGGAAGCCCTTCACCCCCTTCACTGCGAGAGAAGCCCAAGGCCCACTGACACGGTCCATACCGCCCACAGCTGGACATCTGGCCTGCCGTCTGGCCCGGGACCCTGCCTCCCAGGCCAAGCTGCCCAGAGGAATGCAGTGAGCTCTGGACCCAAGCCCTCTGACTGCCCCGTCTCCCAGGTATCCTACCGAAGCCTCTGACAGCCCTGTCCTGGGGTCCTGCCTGCCCTGCCCACCATACACTCTGGGCACAGGTTCGCTGCCGGGACCTGGCCCAGTTTCCCGCGCCCCTGTGTCCTACGCACAGGTATTCCTGAACACCGGCTTCTTCTTGTCTTTCCTCAGGATCAGCTCCTGGGACTGGCAGCCCTGGGACCTGAGGTCAAGAAGGTGCAGGCTCAGGGCCAGGGCCCTTCCTGCCTGCTGGCTGCCACGCCCCCCAAGGTCATCTGGTCTGGTCCAACTCCCACCAGGCCTCGGCCTGGGGGTCGCCAGTTTGGATGCACCCCCCACCCCGAAGAGGTGGGGCTGTCTTGCAGAACTTGCAGACTGGCCTCAGCCAGCTTTCCACCTGGACCCCTTTCCCTTTCCCGCCGGCTTCTTCCTCTTGGGAAGGGCGTGCCGCTGGTCAGTCTGTGACGATGTGCTGGCCCACCACCCTGCCCACTCACCTGCTGAAGGCGACAACCACCCTCAGGTGGCCTCCTCGGTGCACCTTCACCACAGACGCCCCCAGCTTCCTCTTGTCTGGGGCCGGCACGAAGCCCCGGGCATTAGTGGCCACCGCAAGAATGTACCAGAACCCTGAGAACTGGGGGGGCAGTATTGGAGCTGCCACCTGGCGCTGCCCCCACCCCAGGCTCCCAGCCAGAGAACTGACTGGACAAACCTCCTCTCAGCAGGCACAGCTCCGGGCTGGCCAGTCAGGGTCAGGTGGCACAGGGCCAGGCTGCGGGCACTGGCAGCTCAGAGCTTCCCCTGCCCACCTCAGAGGTGGGCTTCTTCCTGCCGTGGTGTCCTGGGGCCCTGGGCCACTCAGCCCCTCCCCTGCATCCTGGCCAGAGGTCTCCCTGTTACAGATCCCTGTGGCCCACCCGCTTCCCCAGGGTCCAACCAGGGATGCTGTAGCTCCCACCAGCGCCTCCCACCCAGCTGGTCTCCTCTCCCCAGCACATGCCCTCCAGCACCCCCCAGGGTCTCCCTGCTGCCTTGCCCTCAGGCCCCTTGGCCAAGATCCTCTTGGGACCCTGGGGCCGAGGGCTGCAGTGGGAGAGGCCAGGTGGGCCTGGCAGGAGCCTGTGCCCTGCTCTGCTGCTGCCCCTGCCCGCTGTGTCCTGGCATGGGCACCAGTAGACAGTGACTCACCTTGCCCCAGTTGAGGGCGTTGGACTCCTTCGGGAAATTTTTCTGGGGCTGAGACCCCACGTCCAGGGTCAGCGCCACCAGCAGCACTAGCACCAGCCAGGGCCTCATCCTCACTTGCCCTCAGCCCGAGAGCTTGGTCACTGCATGTAAATGTCCCTGACTGCCACGCCCCGCCATGGGCATCTGACCACCCCAGCACCTTGAGCCAGCCTAGGCCAGGCAGGCAGGACAAGGGTGGGAGGTGGGCAGCTGTGGCTTTGGGCTCTGCCCCTCCTCCTGACACAGGGCCTGCCCAGCACTGGGCCCTCACATAGCCAAGTCGACTGCTATGGACACCGCTGTTCTGGGAGGTCCCCAGAGAAGATGCCATCACATTCCCACAGGCTACACCAAGGTCCCTTATGCCTTCACCATATGGCCTGGGGCTGCCACAGGTTCCCTGGGTACCTCTACAGCCCTGGACCATCTGGCCTGGCATGGGGCACCCTGGTCCTCTCATCCTGGACCCCCAGGTGTGAAGCAAAGAGCCAGGGCCTCATGGACTGTGCCTTGGACAGGTGTGCACTCTGGATGTGACACGGTGGCCTCTAGGAACACGATTTGGAAGCCACGTTTTTGAGGTCACAGTGCTTGAGCAGGTACTGTCGGGCAGGCTGGGAGGGATACACACACCCATGAGTGCATGCGCTGGTAGCATGTGCACACATGTAGGCAGGTGCACATGTGTGTGCACACACGTGTGCATGTCCAGCCTTAAGAGTTGAGGTCCCCCGTGTGCACTCACCTCATCTCAGTGTGAGTGATGTTCAGCCCTCACCTGTTCAGCCCAGCTGTCCCCACACCCTGAACCCAGGAGGCCCTCAGGCTCAGGCCCTCCTGGTCACTGGCCCCGGACCCAGCAGCAGCCAGAGCACAGGAAGCCAAGCTCAGAGCCCCTCAGTTCCTCCTGCCCTGTTGCAGTCCTGGGGACGTCAGCACCCACCTCCAAGTCACACCCTGTCTGCTCTGCGTCCAGCAGACCAACCCAGAAGCTGTGTCCCAGGGGACTCTGCTGAGCGACACTGCAGCATCAAGTCCTCTTGACCAGAGCCAAGTGTGGCCTCTCATGGTGCCCCACCTTCCTGGGTTGATCTGTCCAATTCCTCCACCTGCCAGGCGTGGACGCTGTCTGGCCCAGTCAGACGCACTAGGGGAGTTTGCTTGTGGAATCCTTTATTTGCTGGGGCGAGAGCCTCGGGCAGCAGCCAGCCCACACCACCACCTGGCTGCCGAGAGGACAGTGGTGCGTGCTCCACAGGAACACGTGGGCACTGCCACTTACTGGAAACAGGATGAGCACTGGGGCCAGCCGGCCAGCGGTGGGCCACCCTCAGCCTCCTCCCTGCAGCAGAGTCATGGCCAGCAGGCTTGGGTGACGTTCTCCCAGCCCCAGGAGGCTACAGCCCCCCCAGCTGGTGGCTCACCTGGAGGATCCTGCGTGCACAAGTGACTGGAAGGTAAGGCGGGGCCAGCTGTGAGGAGACCCCCAGTGCCTGGCCCTGTCCCCAACCATCCCGCAGGCCTGACTGGGTGGGAACTCCAGGAAGTCCCCGACTGGCAGAAAGCAGGATGTGGCCCCCAGCGTGATCTGTGGGCATTGGGCCTGCCTGACCTCCCCTGGCCACTTGAGGACACTCACAGTCCTTCTGCAGCTGGGCCTGCTGCTGGGATAGGAAGCCCAGGTTCCTGCTCCATTTGGTGAAGAGCTGCAGGGCCTCCTGGCTGGCCATCTCCATCCGACCTGGGGGAGAGGGACAGCCCCTGGGACTCGGGGAGGGCCAGCTGCTAGGATGCCCCAGCACAGAGGCCTCGGGCAGAGGGGTTTACTCCTGTGCCCCGCACTCAGGCGCCACTCACTGTACAGCTCCAGCGTGTTGAAGGCCTCCTCCTCGACCTCCATCTGGGTCAGGACAATGGCGTAGTCTCTGAAGTTGGTGCCCAGCACCCGGTACTGCAGCACACCCAGGGCTAGGAGGCAAATGTGCCCCCAGGTGGGCACAGGCCCCTGTGCCAACGGGACAGCCATGGGGACAGAGGGCAGATTGAGGGCAAGACCCAGCAGACCACAGGAGAAGTCCGCAGGCTGGTGCCAGCAGGAAGTGGCCAAAATGACGTACTGATGCACAGCTGGGCAGCTGAGGGTCTTGCCCAGCGCATCCTCGGGAGCCTGAGGAGAACCTGGGCCACCCCATCTGGCCTGTTTCGAGGGAGGTGGCCAGCCACTGTGCAGGCACCCGGCTCTCTGCACCCAGGGAGGAGCCCCAGGGCCCTGGGCTGAGATGCCCCACAGGTGTCGGGCATGAGGGGCAGGGTATGTGAGGGCCACAGGCTTTGTCTTGGGGTGAGAGTCTTCTCACCCCGAGGACTAGCACCAAGTTCCCCACCAAGGCAGGTCCTTCAGCTGCCCGTGAAGAGCTGTACCAAGACCTCTGGAGCCATCCTGCCAGCCCCGGCCCTGCCCACTGGCCTGCTGTCCTCCAGCGGGCTCCAGGCAAGCACTGCCTGATGAGGGCCCTGCAGCATCCTACTCACCGGGGTTCTCAAACACCCATCGGGAACTCTGCCTGGACAGCTCCATCGCGTTCTGGGTGCACCCCTCCAGCCTAGAAAGGAAAGACCCATGGGAAGAGACAGGCTCTCCTTGTTCCTGCTTGGTCAGCCAGCCGGGAGGCTGCAGARAGGGGTCTCCCTGATGCCCCAGTTGCCAGGAAACCCTGCTGTGAGGAGACAGGCTATCAGGTAAGTGCCAGCCACTCCCTGTCACCTGCCCCGAGACCCAGGTCCACCTGGAGCAAGCAAGGGCACCCGCCGGGTCGGTCTGTGGTAGGGGCAGAGACTTGACGTGGAACAGTGCCAGTGCCCAGAGGAGCAGACCACCGCAGGCCGCAAGCTGCTGCTCAGGTCCACTGGGAACAAAAAGAAAACCCCAGAGAGAAGACGCAGCAAGTTCTAGACCTTGAGATCATGAGGCAACCAAAGCTGAATGACTAAAACATCAGGGTTTGGGCCACTCAATAGATGAAAGGAACAGGATAGGAAGTTCAGAAATAAAGCAAGACACACAGGGGCGGATGCTTGTGACCAGCGTCGCGCCTCCCGATGCATCCAAGGTGTGAGACCAGAGAATGGGGAGGGGCTCCCCAGGGGGACATGGCCCCCAGGGCCTCGGGGGGCGGGGGGAGATAAAACCTTCCTCAACAGCGTGGACATGAGCCACTGGGGAGCGGTATGCCGCTGATGTTTACCACGCTTCCTCATATTTAAGGATCCTTACAAACAGTAAGAAACACCCGAGAGGAGCATGTGCAGGGCATCTGAACAAATGGATCCCTGGAAGCAGGAGGAGCTTGCTGATGAGGGCTGGTGAGCCCACGGCTCCCACGTCAGGAAAGGCACACTGAAGCCAACACAAGGCCCATTTTGGCCCACAGATGGCAAAGAACTCTGAGAAAGTAAAAGGCGGAATCGGGTATCCGTGCAGGGAGCCTGCTGTCCCCAGCATTGCCACTCAGGGACACAGAGCAACTTCCATGTCCAGAGGAAGCGGCCTGTGGGAGCTGTGGGTGGAGGCTCGTGTGCGGAGGGCCTGCAGGGGCCTGCGTGGGGCCGGTGCAGTGCGCTGCCCACTTACCCATGCCGGGTGGACAGCACCTTCAGGTTGTTTTCTGGGGTGAGAGTCACCATGATGCCTTCTACGTACTTTGTGTTCTTCTCCACCATGAAGCCCTTCTCGTGGGAGGCCACGGCAAGGAGGTACCAGGGCCCAAGAAGCTGCATGAGGGGCAGTCAGCTGAGGGGCCCTGGTTCTCCTCCCTCAGGGGTGCCCAGCCCTGCCTAGCCCCACCACTCATGCCTGCCTAGGCTGGCCCTGGGGACCCAGAAGCTGTGTGACCTCAGAGGAGGGTCCTGGGCCCTAGGACAGACCTGCTGTTGGAGAGGGCTGGTACCTGCTTGGGGTTCAGTCTTCCCAGCCACACCAGCTGGGTGCTGGGCATGAAGACCAACACCAGCAGAGCGCCCAGCTGCAGCACCCTCATCCTCTCCAGGCCCAAGCACACCACTCACCATGGGAGGACGTGCTGCCCTCCTGCTGGGAAGCTCTTATATGGCTCTGAGTGCCAGGATGTGGGTGGCCACTGACCACGGGGCACCATCCTGGCCACTATTCTTGCAAAGTAGCAACATTACCCAAAGGTTGGCAGGGTGGCCTGTGTGCCCACCCTGGACCTGCAGCATGGCCGAGAGGGCACAGGGGTGTGTGCAGAGCCTGCTCTCCTGCCTCCTTCTCCACAGAGGTTTCCAGGATGAGCGCCCTAAACCCTCCCAGGATCTGCACTCTCCTGGGGTGAGTCTGGGCAGACTCAGATGCTGCTCTGCAGGGCCAGACCTGATGGGGCTGAGGTCAAGTTCAAGGGCAGTGCAGACTGGTCAAGAACAAGTAGTTCTTCCAGAAACCACAGGTTTGGATATCTTCTGTTTCCATCAGAAAAAATACAAGAATTCCTAAAAGTCTTTTTTTAAAGTGCTCCTACCTGCTTCTGACCATGGGCCCTCTGCTCAGCCAGCCGTGGCCTCCCCCATCGCAGCCCTCTGGACCCCTGCCAGCCCGACCTGTTCCCTTCACCCCACCACCTGGGCCTGTTCTCTACAGCCAGCTCCCACCCTGCCACCTCTCCTCCCAAGACCCTGTCTGCATGTCTCCAAGGTCCCCAAGAGCTGCCTGCCACCTGGGCTTCCCACCCCTGCATCACTGTGCCATCAGAGCCTCCTGTCCTGCAGCTGTGGGCAGAAGCACTTACAGAGTCTGAATGCACAGCCCAGGGCAGGTGGCTGGGAGCCCTTCAGCCACCTAAGGCCTTAACCTTGCTCACCCTGGGATCGTCATCCATTCACTCATCAGGGAGAGTTACTGAGCCTTCTGAATAGCAGCAAGACCATGGGTGCCGAGGGCCCATCCCAGAGCAAACCGAAGCTCTGGTCCACCTTCCTATGAGATGGCAAAACCAGACCCAGTTGTAGAATGAAATCACATGAAAGTTATGGTGAGCCCAACCAATGCCTGGGGAAGGGTCAGCTCTCCTCCCCTCCTTCGGGAAATCCAATTAACCAAGCTCCCTGCGTTGTTTGGGATTGCAAATAACATCTCTAGGAGTCTCACAGCTTCCCTTTTGTGTGTGTGTGTGTGTGTGTGTGTGTGTGTGTGTGTGTGTTGCTAGGGATTGAACCAGGGCCACCAGAGTGTATGCAAGGCAGGCACTCTACCAACTGAGCTGTGTCCCCAGCCCTCTGCTTCCCTTTTGAAATGTAAACACCCCTGTGCAGGCTTTCAAGGCTAGAGATTGAACAATGTCTGTGAAAAGAGACTTTCTTTTTAATATTTACTTTTTAGTTGTAGTTGGACTCTATACCTTTATTTTATTTATTTATTTTCATGTGGTACTGAGGGTCGAACCTAGTGCCTTGCACGTGCTAGGTGAGCGCTCTACCACTGAGCCACAACCCCAGCTCCTGAAAAGAGCCTTTCTTTGCATCTGTTTCTGTAAGCATGCTTGATGTTGTATATGACACTCTTCTATAAGCATGGCTTGAAGGTCTGCACTTTGCCTTCTGCCATGTAGATTAGGAATAAAAAAAAAATACCAAAGATAGGACAGGTCTAAGATGTTGCCAAATGATCTATAAATGTGAGAAACTGTGGATCAGGGCTCAGCATTTGGAGTTTGTTCTCTGAGCCCTCTCTAGTGAAGCTTGCCGCCTCTCCGCAAGGAGAGGTCTGTTTCCTGCAATGCCTGCTCATTCTGGCCCTGAGCCAGGCTCCGGAAGCTGGCTTCCCCCAGATGCCACGCGACTGGAGTCCAGGAGGAAGTCAGAGCTACTGTGGGCGATCTGTGAGGGCCTGGGGGCATCGGGACCCTCCAGCCAGAGCAGTGCTGGAGGCCACAGCCAGGGGCTGCACTGCAAAGCAGAGGGTGGTCTTGGCCTCTGAAGATATCCATGTGGGGAGGGGTGCGGCATATGGCCAGCAGATGGCCACCAGGCCAGGCTCGTAGGCAGAGAGGTGTGGGAGGCTGGTTCTCAGCAAAGCCACCAGACAGTGCCCTTGGGCGCACTGCAGTGGAAGACCCGAGGGAGAAGCCAGACTAGGGACTCAGCTTGTCCACCAAAAGGGGGTTGGCCACTCCCTGCCTTTGGCATGACTCCCAGGCTGAGTCCCAGGCTAGAGGGCTGGAAAGCCTCAGGTGGGAGGGGACAGGGCTACCTGCTCCCCAGGGGCTGCTGCCTATTGAACCTCCACACACAGAAAAGACCACCAACTCCAATTTTAAATCGAATTACAGCAAGCTTGCATTGTGCACACAGAGAGCTGGCCAGCGACTTCCCCACCCTGACCTGGGCCAGAGATCAGCGCCCCTCAGGAAAGAAAGGTTTATAGAGACAAAAAGCCTCAAAAGGCGGTGTCTTGAGAACCTACAGCTGACGGGGTTCTGGCAAACGTGATGCAAGGGCAGATGGCAGATTAATGATCTGCATGGCTTGATATTTCAAGGTAGGGAGTAAATTCAGATCCCAACATCAGAATTCCTGAGGAGCCGCTGAGGTTTCAGAGAGGGTTGTTATCTGGTCGGGGGAGCCAGGCAGGGCTGAGTTCAGAGCCCGGCAGGAATCTCAGGAATTCACAGTAAAGCAGAAATGAGCTTTTCATGGCTTTGCGACAAGATGGCTGCCAGTCTTTTTTTTTTTTAATATTTATTTTATTTTATTTTTATTTTTAGTTCTCGGCAGACACAACATCTTTATTGTATGTGGTGCTGAGGATGGAACCCTGGCCGCACACATGCCAGGCGAGCGTGCTTCCGCTTGAGCCACATCCCCAGCCCCGGCTCCCAGTCTTAAGATGGGATTAGGCTGGGCTCCTCACTTCCCAGGAGCTGGAGGTGGGTTCCAGGGCCAGGCGCCCGTGGGCTTGGCAGGGCCATGTTTGGCTATCTCCAAGAGGTCCACAGTCGGAGGCAGGGACAAGAGGTAGGGAGCTGCAGTTAGCAGTCAAGGCCTGGCCAGGGTGGGCCCACTGGCCTGTGGGCTACTGATGGTCTCCTGGGCTGTCACAGAAGCACCTCCTTGGCTAGTGACTTGGGTGACAGTCACCCAAGGTGGTCTCCTGGCCTGTCTGTCAAGCCTGTGGTCGGACCATGGCCCAGTTGTGCTAGGGCAGTGGGGACCAGTTGTTGAGAGACCCAAAAAGATACCTAGAGACAGTGTGCAAGGCAGACGGTTTATAAAACGTGTTTTGGGGAGGTCCAGGAGCCAAGAGCTGGACAAACAGCACCTCCCCTCCATCCCTTATGGAGCCTTGTCCAGGGTCAGACCAGGGCACAGGGCACAAGTGCTCTCACCTCTGCACCATGCCCCTGGCTCTGCACAGCTAGTGCAAGGAGGGACACAGGTCAGCCACAGGGCAGTGGCATCATGAGCTTGCTTAGTTCCTGTGACCAAAATCCCAAGGAACAGCTGTGCCAGGTGCACACAAGAAAGCACTTGCCAGGGTGACACCAGGCTGCCGAGGTGCACCAGACGAGGGACAGAGAGCCAGCGTCCTTCACGGTGGGATTTATCTGGACAGAATGTCCAGGCCATTCCAACTTGGCTAGGTCCTCGGGAACAGAAARGGTCTTTCAGGGACACAGTGTCACACTGTCCTTTCAGGACAGGATGCCATGCCCTGTGGCCACAGCCCTGTGAGCAGCCTGCCACCCTCTGGCTCTCACAAGTCCAGCCTGCTCTTCCCCACACTGGGCCCTCCTCAGAGGGTCCTGCCCAGCAGTGCCTCTTTCCCTGAGGTCTGGGGTCTGTACGGCTCTGGGCTTCGTGATCCCAACCCTTCCTCTGCCCTCCCAGATGGGGGTGGGGGCCGCGGCCTGTTTCTTCCTTCCACTCCTGGGTTTCCTGTTTCCAGGTGCCTTGTAGGGTGCCCCTTCAGGTCCTCTTCAGAGGCACRGGGGAGCAGCCGGGGCAGGTGGAGAGCTGAGGCCCAGGTGACCTTGTTGTCCTGGGGGCTCCTCATACACCAATTTTGTAACAAGATGCTAAGTTCAATTTCTCTTTTCTGAACACACCTAAGTGGTCTCCGCCTCCGACAGAAGACCAAGGGGCACAGACTCAGTCTCAGGAGACGGGTCTGCCGTGATCTCTGCATCTTGACATTAGACCAATCGGCAGAGACTGGGACTCGGGGAAGGGCCAGCTCACCCCACTGCGGGAATGCACCAAGGTTGCTAGGACTGGGATGGTGCCAGGCTTCCCGCCACCTGGCCCATCCTCACTGTYGTGGCCAGCACGTGGTCCTGCGGTGCCACAAAATCACTGTGCCTAGAGGACGCTATGAGAGGGGGTGGAGAAGGCTGTCCAGGCCCACCGAGAGAGAGGGAGAGCCACTGCTGTCTGTCCGGTGGTGGACACTGCCGGGTGGAGTTGGGAAGACAGGCGTCCAGACCCAGAGCTGCTCGTCAGGCCCTGGAGGACCCAGGTGCTGGAGGACACATTACAGAGACGGTCCCTAGACAAAATGCTGCAGGTGCCACAGGCACCAGGAAGGTGGGAGATCCTCCCTTGCTCTCCACGGCCCATTCTTCCTCCCCAAGACCGCACCGGCTGGTCCAATGGGCCAGACAGGAGCTGCTGCCAGACCTTCCTCAGCCGGGGTAGCAGCCTGCCGTTCTCCCTGGGATGCGCAGGTGCCTCACCTCACCTCTGGCAGGCAGGCTCCCGCAGCGGGAGGCAGAGAAGAGCCGGGCCAGCAGGAGCAGGGACACCACTTCTGCCTGTTGCCTCACACCTGCAGGTGGCTCCTGGAGGTGGACCTCACACTGCTGCCCAGGCAGCTGCTGTCGGCTTGCAGTTCTGACCCACGATGGAAAAGCCTTGGGAGGCGGGGAAGCAGGCGCATCTGTGTTCSCCGGCTTCCACGGGAGGATATTGATGCGTCCCCATGACCCCACAGGTGAATAGGATTCCAGCCCTGCATGGACCTGCCACTGTG